CAGTCAAAATTCCGTAGCCGAGGCCCTGCGTGGGGGCGGTGCCCCCACAGCTTTGAGACGGAATACCACACTTTTTTTGCAAATGTTTTCTTTTTTTGTTGAAAAAGCCGATGGGTGAAAAATAAGTGGCCTAAAACCGGTGAGAAAACTAGATTTGGGGGTACCCTATCTATTATGGTGTGCCCCCCCCCCCCCCAGTCGGAAAGTAGTTCCCGCGCCCCTGCTCATTTTGGCTGTTCTTTCTTCCTCACCGGGCTCAACATTATAAAATATATTAAAAGTTTGCTTCGAATCTTCACATTAATTCAAATTCACGCAGCATTTTTGTGCGTAGTTTACACCACTGATATCAAGAAGTTGATAAAATATTTGGCGTTAATTACGTCGTTTTATGAAACCCAAATGGCATCAATTGGTCCGGATTCGAGCATTTGCCGTAAATGAAGCTCCGTAATTTCGATGGCGTGAATTACTCCGGTCTCCGGCTTTATGCAACCGAATTGGCATCAAATACGCCAAATCTGGCATAATTGACGGAACGCCGTAAGTAATTCCTTTTATGAAACGAGGCCCTGGTGGCACTAAAATGTCGGGCATTGATCTTTACTGCTATCTAGCGGCTATAAGCAGTAACTATGGGTCTGTTCCAGCGCCTCCAGAAACCTCCAGAAAGCTCCAGAAAGCTCTAGAATCCTCCAGAGAGCGTTCCAGCGCCTCCAGAAAGCTCCAGAAAGCTCTCGCCAAAGCTCCAGAAACCTCCAGTAGCCTCCAGAGAGTTGGGAGGTCCAAATTTCTCTGGAGGCTCTGGTCTACAATCATGGCGCACATGTTACAATCACGAGTGTAAACAAAGGCCTTTTGACTGATTATTTTACTACTTGAATGTAAAGAAAATTACATTGCTATAATTTTGTTAATCTTTCTTAATCAAATTGAAAACAAATTTTGCGTTTCAAGAGAAAACAATCGTCACTCTTTTGGTATATGTGATGCCAATCTCCAGAAATCTCCAGAATGCGTTCCAGCGCCTCCAGTAAAACCTCTGGTAGAGCCTCCAGTCAAGAATTTCTACTGGAGGCGCTGGAACAGGCCCCAGAACTGTGAGCTGACTGATGTAGAGGCGCTAGTGTCTGAGCCTCGTAAACCGGCGCATCGCGCTTTTACTTATACCATTGGAATTGCTTTAAAGTTTTGTTTTTTAATGTCTGAAAATCATATCTTAAGCTTTTCAAAAAACAAATTATTATTGTAAAATTCAAATTTGAATATCCTGAGACCAGTTTATTAATCCTCCGCTAGGTTTGCTAGTGCCTAATGAAAGTTGCCTATAGGTCCTGAAACAAAACAAATCCAGCTCCTCCAGATCCAGGGGGGTCCGTCCCTTTACCGGGCCATAGAAGGAAAATTGCTACCAAATGCTGCCAATGTGACGTCACTGGGATGGTCGAAAGCTGATTGGTCGCTGAGATTCAGGCGATGCTGTCAATTCTGGCGCACCGGCGCAGTGTTTTCCAGCCGTTGCGTGTATTGTTATACGGAGTTTGAATATTGTTTATTTGATAATAATATCACTTTATATTGATATGTGTTTGAAGATCGGAAAAGCATGCACATAAGTGGCATTCACACACTTGTCGTCTCAGAGATCATGAAGAATGACCAGCTTCAGCAGTTCAGCTCAGGTATTCAATTTATTCAACTGTATAAGCATGAGTATCATAGGCAGATCAGCCCCGTTTCAGTTCAACCCGGTTTAACCTTTTTTTGTCATTTTTGGCTTTCAAAGGGAGCATGATAAACTCATATTAAGTTGTAAAATGCCTTAGCATTGTTGAAAACATAATGAGAAGGAGAATGGAGATGGATCATGGAATAGTTGTAAATTGTTTCGGAAGTGGCTAGCTTCTATAAATATTAATGCTTTGTGAAAATAACAACTTATTTGTCAAATTAAATAGTATCAAATAACAAATCAATCTATGCTTACCTCCCAGACTGGAAAAAAATTCACACACTGTCAGTGTCAGATGCGTCAGGGCCCAGGGGCTTTCGGGTCTCAAAATTCAGCGCAAGTGATTTCTCACCAAAATTTTGGCACATCTTTTGTGCAAAGTTGAAGCTCATTGTTACTTCTTTTCAATATTAGTTGTTGCCAGATTTTATAATTTGTATCTAAACTTTCAAATTTTGGATGCAAATTTTGAATTTAAAAGGATTTCTGACATGCTTATTGCTGAAAATCCCATTCTTGTTTATGTAAATGTTATGTAATTGACATTTGCTAACTAAACAAGCTCATCCTTATTCCTTGTCTAATGTCTATATATTGGTTTCTATTTATACCACCTGTGCTACTACTAATTTCTATTTGTTGAGACTATTTACCTAATGCATTTGCTTCATATGATTTTATACGCAGACGCACCTGTGCATGGAACAGTAATGCCAGACCCAAATTCAAAATATTAATGAAAAATTGTGTTATTTGCTTGTTTCACCTGAATTCTGAGTCAGGCCTGCAATCAATACATAAATATGAAATAGGTACATGTTTTGAGGCTTCATATCAGCACATAGAAAAGGCAATCGAAGAAAAGGCACCTTTGGGCATTGATTATTTTTGCTTGCCATCGCCTAGTCAATTTTTTCATGTTGCATTGTGTTAATAAACTTGGTAATGTGTTTTGCAGGTCCTGGGCTGGTCCTCTGGCGTGCAGGACGGCGAGGAGTGGCTACCTGCACATAACAACACAATGACTGGCATCGAGCTGAGGGTATAAAATCACATCATATCGACTTCAGCATCTGTCTCCCAGCTTTGGAGACGTCGCCCGACTCCCGAGTCCCTGAGTGGCGAGCGCCAGTTTCCGAAAGGAATTTGAGGAAGGCGACCCGAAAGCACCCGCTGGGCTGCCGACACTCCTGCGCTGCCAGCAGGGCGTGCTGCGCAGTGAAGCCTCGCTGCGTGGTCTGTACGACATCCGACACCGGCACCCAGACGTGCAGTTTCTGATGACATCCCACCTCAACCAGGGCTGCCCCGAGAATCTGCTAGTGCTGACTGCCTGCTGCTGAGGCCGACCTGCCGGACCTGTCGCCGCCCTGGTGAGCCTGAGCCGCCCTGGGACCTGCCGCCGCGTCTACGCTGCCGCCCTGGTGAAACTGCCGTCGCCCTGCCGAACCTGTCGCCGCCCTGGTGAGCCTGCGACCGCCCTGGGACCTGCTGCCACCCCGGCGGACCTGCCGCCGCGTCTACGCTTCCGCCCTGGTGAAACTGCCGTCGCCCTGCCGGACCTGTCGCCGCCCTGGTGAGCCTGCGGCCGCCCTGGATCTGCTGCCACCCCGGCGGACCTGCCGCCGCGTCTACGCTTCCGCCCTGGTGAAACTGCCGTCGCCCTGCCGGACCTGTCGCCGCCCTGGTGAGCCTGCGGCCGCCCTGGACCTGCTGCCACCCCGGCGGACCTGCCGCCACGTCTACGCTTCCGCCCTGGTGAAACTGCCGTCGCCCTGCCGGACCTGTCGCCGCCCTGGTGAGCCTGCGACCGCCCTGGGACCTGCTGCCACCCCAGCGGGCCTGCCGCCGCGTCTACGCTGCCGCCCTGGTGAAACAGGTCCGTCGTCGCCCTGCCGGACCTGTCGCCGCCCTGGTAAACCTGCTGCCGACCTGTCGCACTTGCCACCGCCCTGGTGAATCTGCTGCCGACTGCCTGACCTGTCGCTGCCGTGGTGAACCTGTTACCGACTTGCCGGACCTTTCTCGCCGCCTTGACGAGCTTGGGGAGCCTGTGCTGAGGTGCCACCGCTCTGTTTCACGTGTTATGTTGCCCGGTTCCTGGCTGTCGCGGAGTCAATCGGCACATTGTGTTTGGAGAGGCGACATCTTGTACAACTTTCCGACAGTTCGGAGCATTTTATTGTACCTACTCAAGTCGCAAGAGATTAGGCTTGTGCCTTATTTGTCCTCTACCAATCTGTCCAATATGGTTTTTTATAACTACGATTTATGGTATGACATAAACCGGTATATTGTGTACGCATTTGGTTCGTTCCAGTCAGAAGTTTGGAATGTGTACATATACTTGTGTTACGGTACAATTTCGGTTTGTGCAGTTCACACAACCTCTCTTAATTATGGGGCGAAATAGACGCAAAACCAGGGCTGCGGAGTCGGAGTCAGGGTCGACAGTTCTGACCGGACTCGGAGTCGATTTTGGAAACCGAGTCGGAGTCGGGGTCACCGAAAATCCATCGGCTCCGCCAGGGCTGCGGAGTCGATGGATTTTCGGCGACTCCGACTCCGACTCCGACTCCGGCTTTAAAAAACCAGCTCCGACTCCGACTCCGGGCAGAATTGTCGACTCCGACCGACTCCAACTCCCGACTCCGACTCCGCAGACCTAGCAGGGCTGCGGAGTCGACATATTTTCGGTGACTCCGACTCCGACTCCGGCTCGGGTTTCTAAAATCGACTCCGACTCCGACTCCGCAGTCCTGGCCGCTCCGCAGATCTGGCAGGGCTGCGGAGTCGGAGTTAGAGTCGGTAGGAGTTGATAACCCAGCCCGGAGTCGGAGTCGGAGTTGGTTTTTGGAAGTCGCGGTTGGAGTCAGAGTCACCAGAAATCCATTGACTCCGAAGCCTCGCGCAAAACTATGGCGATTTTCATCTACGAGAGGGCCGCCGATGTGCTGGCCAGATCACCGGCGGGGCGTACGTTGGCTCGGTCCGATCGCAATAATGTCGCCAAATCTTTGGTTCGAGTAACAGCTGGTCCTGATTTGCTTCACTGAGGAAACATCACACCGTTCTGCCTTGCATCGGACGTCAAAACTGCACTAAAATCCGCTGAAAACGTATTTAAACGTCCGTCCTCCATAATGGCTACGGACGGCGGCCGGCGAGTTACCATCCCAGTGACGTCATTCGGGCCCGGTAGGGGGACGGTAAAAAAAAGCCTGATGACCATACCTGGTTATATGGCCTTGCTCCAGATTATGTTGCTTTCAGCGGGCCTTTCAGCGAGCTGGGTTTGTGGTCTTGTGCTTCATAAAATATGATATTTGAATAATTAACAAGTTAATTTGTAGAATTAAATATGTGTAAGCTTAACCCTTTTTGTCTTCTACAATTACTCGGGCGATATAATTGTCTGCAAGCTCATCAGATCTGGATCAGATAGTTGTGGTCTTTTAATCTTGATCTTCTTCAACCACTCAGGTGAGAAAATTGGGTTGGAGTAGTGATATAACTACGATAAATACACTCTGATTCTAATAATTTAGACAATAGTCGTTATAGTTTTTACACAACATTTTTGATTAGGCTCTAGCTCATTTATTTTTCTGTAATTCTGATGCAATTAGGTACCTATTTTCTATTTTGAGGGATCATTTTGTTAATCGTGAAGCACCATTGGCATCTTTCGCAGCATAACGTGCAGAACGGTAAGGTTGCAACAATTCCTATGGAAATACAGCTAATTTGGCATGTTTTATGGCATATTGGATATATATAGGGGAAGACGGGGAACACTGCCCTCTGGGCCCTGGGGAACACTGCCCACTATAATATCAGAAATATGAAAAGGTTTAGGGTGACAGCTGACTGTCTTTTGGTCGAGTGACATCAACAGCAGTGCCGGTATGGGCAGTGCACCACATTATTTTAGTTGATTTGCGAAAAATTCTTAATTTTACATTTTGTGAAAACATTTCATACTTTTTCAAACATAATAAACAGAAAAAGCTTGTATTTTTTACAGACAATAGTCCTGAAGTAGTATTTTTTGCCATCATTAGGACTCATCCAAACATTTCGTGATTCTTCTCGAGTGTCCTTTTGTAGTGCTGCCATATTGAAGGATTTTGTAGAAAAATGCAGACCCTTTGGTAACGCCGCCCACTTGGGCAATTTGGTATTTAATAGCACATTGTGCTATCTGACCCAGAAGTGAGCATTTCGAATAAAGAAAGAATGTTGTTGCAATGTTTTCTTTTTAGAGGAAAATGATGAATTTTGATAAAATTACCTTTTGGGGGTTAAAGCCATCCAGTTTTGTAATTGAGTATAACATTGTACCATTGATATCATGAAATTGTTCCCACTGCATTTGATGAATATACTGAAATGCCTCAAAATTTATGATAAGAACATTTTAATGGTTTAGCAACATGCAAATTTTGTTACCTGCTGTGCTCAGGTGATGTTGCCCAATCGGTGGTGTTACCCCGAAAAATGTAGACATTTACTAAATGTGGAATAATGCAATTGTGAACAAACTACAAAGTTACAAGGAAATAATGCGGTGAAATATATCTAAAATTAATGTGACAATCCAATGAAATTGAGAAATTGACCATGTGGCCAAAAATAACATGACTAGATCCTAAAAGGTAAAGGGGGGGGGGGGGGGGTTGGTGCTCCTCTGTCTTCCCCTACATGCCTTCTATACAGTTATGTTTTTTTTTTACCATTCTTTGAAAGTGTAAATCAATATATCCCAGTGTAATGTTTGGAAACCATTCCAAAAATATGTTCTTTCGCATTCGATAGTATTTTGAAGGTGATTATTGCATGTGACTGGGGTACCTGGTTACATTTAATGCTTTTTCATCAGCTTTCCAATAATGTCAACCTTAACTGCTTGCCTAACTAATGACACTTGCGAGCCTTGGAGAATCCAAAGTTGTTGGTGCTTCTATGGTGAATAGGTACATGCCCTTGCATCCCACTGAAATTCGTCATCTTTTCAAGCTGTTGATGCTTGAATGCCTGGGCCACATTTTAGCAACACAATGCAATGGCTTTATTTAATGTCGTGCTAACACATGAATCATGTCCAAGAGTTCAGCCTTTACCAGCCATGTCCTGACCAGCTCCCCTTCCAGCAGGACCATGTCCATCTCGGAGGAGCAGGACGGCGTCAGGCTGCAGGAGCAGTTCACCTTCTTCACCAAGCCCAAGATCCAGTGTCGCGTCACACTCACCCAGTCGTATGTCGAGGTGGAGAACCTCACCACTAAAGTTCTCGAACGGATTAACGCCGGCGACATCATCGGCTGCCACTGCATGCGTCCCAAGGGCGCGCCGGGCGGCCCGTCGCCGGCGGCCGGCTCCGGCGACCGGGCCGCCGCCGAGTTCCGCGGCACCCAGGTCCGCGAGCTGGACGCCTACATCTGCATCTACGCCTACACGTGCAAACGGCGCGGCGACGGTGCCGCCGTACACATCAAGCGGCGTGCGCACATCTTCCGCGTGGGCAAGAAGCCGACGTACGAGTCGAACCTGCGGCTGGCCGCCTTCTGGAGGACGCTGGTGCTGTGCGTGGCGCGTGGAGTGGCCATCACCAAACCGGCGCTGGCGCAGGCAGGTCAGTCCAGCCGGCTGAGCTCAGCGCTTCTGGGATTTGGAACGGAGGGCGAGGGCAGTGCTCAACTATCCTCGGGATATTCTGTTGGACCATTGTTTTATCCGAATAGCCAGTCCTACCTTGTGGCGAATTTCGATAACCAGCACGGTAAGTACCGCCCTTGATTATACCGGTGATAGCGTGAATTTCGGTGGATGTGACATTGTGCACCGGGGCCAGCGAGTTGTCTGATCTACCAAGTCTGGTGTCACCATCTCAGGGGGTTTGAGCACGCGTTTCGCGCTCGTTCCCAGTGTCTCTCGCACTCGGTCGATGCCGTCAGCTGCCATAGTTCATTGCGGGTCACGCCGTCTGCTAGGCTGTCGGCGATGACTCGGCGCGTTTTCTGGGTCGGTACTGGGCAGCGGGCAGTCCCTGCCCACGCTCTGAACGGTAGGTATGTGCTCTGTCACATAGTAATTACTGAAGGCCCACATGAAGTTTTCATCGCTAACGACGGCGATTTTGGACTGTGCTTGTCGTCACAGGCTTACTTTGCTGGTGAATTTAGCAAAGTACAGCTAGCGACACAGCAGGCACAGTTTGTCAGGACAGCTGTTTGGTTATATGTGGCGATATTGAGACGTCCTGTGACGGACTCGATTCCCCACTCACACCCGACACCAAGACCCTAAACTGGTGCTAACCGGTATGGCCGGCTGAACTCCAGTAACGGTGTTGGTTATCAACATACACATTACACTGGTCCCCGGGCCTGGTCTGTTTACCGACGTCGGGCGGCGTGTTGCTGCCGCTTTTTAGCTGCCCCAAACAACTGGTCAGCTGTCGAGCCGTTTGCGTCAGACCCGAGCCGTTTGTGGCAGTGGTTTTGTCGCCGCTCGGCGTCGCTGCAGGTAGGCCGTGACGGTGACGAAGACGACAAATACGGCGTCCATGTTGACGGGACTCCGTCATTGGCTCGACTCGGAAACAGCCGCATGACCACTTGATCGGATTTGGCACTCATTGCTCAGTGTTCAGTGTCGCGACTGCCCGCCCAGGTAATGTGAAGTGCCTGGTTAGGTGATATTCAGGAACGCTGGTGAAGTTCACACAATGAGACCGTCGCGGCGTCGCCCCTAGTCGCTGGCCTGAATCGTGTGTCAATTTATCCACCCCTTACCCCCTCTCATCCACCGAAGCTATCTCTGGTCGTCTTTTTTCCGCTAAATGACACAGCCAATTTGGATAGTGAATGTCGCCTTCCGACCTCCTACAAGAGCGTCAGTGATGAGCAGATCTGGTAGCGTTATGGCGGTCGAGTGGACCGCCGCGGTCACCGGGTGGACGCCGGGGCTGCTGGGCCGTCTCAGAGTCGGCGTGGAAGACAGGGCTGTTGGCGGAGATCAACTGGGACAGCTCCCAGCTCGCGGCCAGCTGATTCACCTGATGACTGGAACGCGGCAGAAGCAGTCCTGCGACTGCCGCCTTGGGTGCGGAGTGGTTAAGTTTATGGGTTTTGTGACTGCTGTAGGGTGGCGATGTGGCCGTTTTTCTTCCGTGGTCGTCGTATGACGGTCCTGTGGTGGCTGTTTTCGGGCACGACTGTTGTAGTATTTTAGGGGAAGGGGTGATCGATTTTATGCTGAACATCCACGGACGGTAAGGCTGTTGGTACGTTGGTGAGTAAAAAACGTACTTAAAGAGCAACACTGATAATTTCCTCAAATCACCATTTAACGTGTATGTGACATCTGACCTTGGTATGACGTCTGACGCCGTGTGTGTGTGTTTTTAGCGCACGTGGCCGACCTGATCCCGCCGGTGAAGAAGCTGCTGATTCTGATCAACCCGTGCTCCGGACAGGGATACGCGCAGCAGGTGAGCTCTGCCCCTCCACCCTCCCCTCCGGGCCGGGCCGGCTCGATACGCTACCGGTCAGTATTGCCCCCACCCCCCGCCCCCGCCGCGGAATGGGGGCCTCTGATGAGCAGTGTATTTCTGGCCGGACCGGCGGACCGGGCTGTTCTCTATGAGGACGGCACCCCAGGTTACTGTACTTCTGGTCAGGCCACCCTCCGCGGTCGGTGGATGGGGATCGATCTGGGATAACTGCAGCCCGCCCCGCCGAGCGGCCGTGTTTGCAGTTCGGATCGTCACGTGAGCCGTGCTTGTTTTACGGTGTGACGCGTCGCGGGGCCGCTACTGGGCCGTGTTAGTCAGCGGTCATTAGACACACCCCTCTGGAGGGACACACCCCCGCTGGGTGCGGGTGCACCCAACCACACCGGTCCCGCAGTGTTTGGACGGCGGACTGGTGTCTCGGATCAGTCCTGATCAACGGAGACTCGGTCAGACGGGTGGCGACCGTGTGTAGGTCTGTAAAACGGCAACGTGCTCAGCATCGCTCGCTTTCTGTCCGTATTGAAAACCACCCGATATTGCTGATGGGTGGGGTGCTGTGAAATAATATGGTATTAGGAGGAGTGTGAACAGATGGGAGGCCTCTGATGGGGAGCCGTGCCGTGCTGTCCAGGACCGCCTCTGCGGCGCACATAGACAATCCGCGGCGCAGCTGCGACAGTTGTGACGCGGCTACGCACCAGCCGGCTGGCGTGACGTGGCTCGTTTACCGAGCTGGAGTCGCGAGCAGTGCAGCTCCGTCTGGGGACTTGGGGCCCGGGCCGGCACCGCGCCGTTTTGTCAAGAGCCGATATGATGCTGCACCTTTGCCACGGCCCATGACGGACAAACGGTGGTCGATGATCAGTGGCTCGGAGCTGGTTGAAAAGGAGTGGCGCGGCAGCATTTTGTGTAACATTTTCGAAGCTATAGACGTATGAATCAACAAGCTGCAAATTTTGGATCTTAGGATCCTTACCACTGGACTGATGATAGTTTTGAAGCTGCTATGCAGTGTGCGCTAGTTGTCTCAGCATTGATAAGACGCATTAGGTGCACCAATACCTTCAGTGTAGCATTGAAAGTGCAGTACAACTACCGTGTTATGAGCCTTCTCTCCATTTAGCACCATCGTTCCAGCTCGTTTCCTACCCAGCCCTCGCTGGTCCACCCCACCGCACAGTCCGGGCCAGATGCTTAGTAAAGTAATCCTTTATCCTGATTTGCCCGACGGCGGCTTACAGAACGGTGCAGTGACGTCATCGGCGTCTTGCTGACGTCACTGGGTACCGGTAGGTACACGGGGCCCCGGGCCGGTCGGGTAGTTGTGTGTCCCGGACACCGTATGGGACAGTCACAGTATTGATTTCGGCGGTCCTCGAACTGACGTGTATAATACCCAGCCTGCCGGTGACTGCACGCAGGTACCCGCCATTCACTGCAGGGGCTGCGACCCGTCCTTTTTATCCGGTGGCGCTGTAATTGGTACTAAGCGAACGTGGAATCTGGAAATGGACGGGTAGCACCCGATACCGGGAGCTGGGAGCGCGGGCTTAGCTAATCTGCTAACAAGATGCTTCATTCAACGGAACTAGCTCACCAGGGCAATGGTTGTAAATCACCTGTAATGCTCTATCGGCGCTGTCCATCTTGGTCTGGTTATTTGTGGCTTATTCAGTCACCGGACCATGCAAGTACGATGCGGGATCGCGTTGGTAGGCGGGCTGGCTTTGTGAACGGTGACCTCCAGCAGAAAGTGCACAGCTCGGCCTGTGTCGGAATACGATGAATGAGCTACTTCGAGGGCGTTTGAACGTTCGAGCACGAGCTTTGGGAAGAGCCTCCAACGGCGGTGTTTTGCCACATTTAGCTCTCGAGAATATTAAGTGTTATGTACTTTTTAAATAGTACTGATTGCCCGCGGTGGCAGCTTTTGATAGGATAGACAAGGTTTATCAGCAGATATAAGGTCAGAAAGCCAAGCCAATGGTGACACGTGATTCACTAAATCGCTTTAAATCTTCCATAACATTATGTGACAATGCGGGGCAAACTTAACAGTTGCGCAGCAACGTTCTTATTCCATGACTACGCTTTGCGTAAATGATTTGTTGAACTGACCTACAACCCACTCGATACCGATAGGTATGCACTTTTCCGACTGTGTATGACTGGGGGATCCGTTTTTGCGGCGCCCTTTGGCCGCGGTCAGGCGGGATGGTCCGATGAGAGAACTCGGTACGTCAGTGGACAGGGGCGGGCTCCGAGATGGGTACCGATACGGACCGACACTGCGAACCCAGCACTCACTGAGTGACGAGTACCACATCAGGCTACCGCTCTGCTGGTATGTCTGTCATTTCGACCACTGCAAGGATTATAATTCGTTTGTCGAGTAGATTCTCCTCGCGTCGCCAAGTGGCCAGCTGATTTAAAGGCAGTGTGTCGCTAATTCTAAGTCACATACAATGCGACACGAGCCATTTCTTATTTAAACTCTGCAGCCCATTCTCGACATTATTGTCCACTGGCTAATTACCTCGCATTCCTTGATAACAATGTGATTAATAAAGCACAATGCCAGCTGCACGGTGTGCAACATTGCGCTGTCGCACATGGTGAGGGAACACGGGGTACTGTGTGCTGTTTAGGGGCTCGGGGGACCGAGTCTCGGAACCCCCGCTCGCTGGTCCAGACCGGACCTGGCTCAGAGTGTCGCACAATGTGGAGCCGCGTATGGTAGGCCGCTGGACACTGTCCTCTAGCCATGTTACCGTTCCCAGGCCGTGCCTTGGTGACGGGGTCTGTCCCCGTGTGGTGGCCGTACCACTGCGGTGAGCCCCGCCGGACCAATAGGTGTGTCAGTACGTCACCTTCCAGCTGTACGTACTGCCTCGGCCCGGAGTGCTCCATCGCTCACACCTACACTGGCCGTGCTATGTGGGACCACCAGCGCCAACAGCCGAGTAGTTCAAGGCCGTCGTACCTAGCACACGAGCTCAGTGTACGATATATTTCCGTCATATCAGCCGCAATCTCCGTGACATTAGCTCGGCCGCTCTGATTGTCAGTTACTGACGTGTGACATTCTTGTGTGCCAACTGCCAAGCTAAGTTTTGTCAACACTATCTAACAGCCCAATTTGTGCTCCACTGCATTGGTGTATTGAAATGTACCGATATATTATAGCCCGGGCTATGACCCCTCCCGGGCCCACCCCTCCCCTCGTCCTAATGTGTGCTGTACCGCTGTGGTGGCCCCGCAGCCACCGGCAGCTGTGTGCGGCCCGGCACGTGTGGTCGTTATCAGCCCCCCCTCCCCCTCTGAGTTAGGTCACTATGGGACGCGGTCAGGTGCGGGTCCTATCTGGCACAGCGCCGGGCAACAGGGCTGCCACAGCTGGGGGGGGGGAGGGGAGGGGGACCCATTCGGCTCGTTTGGAGGGGGAGGGGGAAGAGACTTTCTTGGGTAAGAGGTAGAAGCAGTGGTGCTCTTATCTGACCCAGTCCTGGGTCCACTGAACTCCACCTTTTTATAATTTCAGTCCGTTTAACTGAATGTATGACTGGCTCAGGGTGTCGTGCCGAACAGAACTTACAGGCCATAACAGCACGGGCCAGCCGGTGTGAGCAGTGATCCCCGCGGTCCCGAGACCCGGGTTGTGCCGGGCCCGTCTCCGTGCCGCCCCCTGCCCCGCCCAGAGACCGCGCCGCCGACCTTGTAGTGCGTTAGCGCAGCCACGGGCGGCTTATCAGCGGCAATATCGCACGGAGCCGTCCACGGCCACACTCTGAGCTGTGAGGAGTCAGTGTGAGCCAAGGGGAGCTACAAAGAGCACGGGAGAGACCGGGAGAGCTGGGGATGGCTGGAGAGTCTCGAGCTAATCATAGCCCAGGAAAAATACCTGTGATGGATCTAGGGAGATTCAAGAGCGATATGTTGAGCCCTAGATAGTTACAGGGACCTAATGGAGCTAAACCGGCCTGTTCGAAACATTTGGGAATATTTGGAAACATTGCACTACAGGTGTGCGACAAATAACACTTTTTAATGATGCATCGCTGTTTGAGTGAATTAGATGTAATTCTTGCCTCCAAATACAGTTCTGACCCACCTGCCTCCGGGGTAGGACGGGGACCATTGAGGGTCCCTCATATCGTCTGTGTAGTAGTTACAATGACGTCATCAGTGGTGACGTCACCGCGGCCGGTCGGTGGGTGGGCCGCTCTCCGTCCCGTGTGATGGACGGTGGCGTGATCTCGGCAGCGGCTCGGCGCCGATGGTCGCCGCCCCAGCTGACGAGGGCTGCGGGAGCCGCGGTGTATAGAACGTCGTGGGAGCCGGCACTGACCGCTGCGGGCGGCGACAGAGGCGGCTCCAGGCGCGGGGGGGGGGGGTCTGGTGAGCGGGCGCACTGAGCGCATCAGGGATTCGACCGGGAAGGGGGCGGTACGTGACACACGGCTGAGGACTGTATTCTTTTAGCAACTTAAGCAGAACTTAACCCGCGCGGGGCTGGGGTCTCCAGCCGAACGCGCGGGGCTGGGGGGGGGGGGTAAATTTTACCTCCCTGTTATCTCCCGAACTAATGGTCCGATTTGGAAAATTCAAACGCCAATCGAAAGCTCTCATCACGAACTACTAAAAACATGTACTTAATTTAAAGTTTGAGGTCAAGGTCAAGGTCAGGTCAAGGGTACAAATTGCAAGTTTCTACAGTATCGGTCTTGCACCGTAGTTGCCGAAGAATGGAGTCATGGACTGAGACTGATCGCCCAAAACGTGTTCTTAGGCTACCAAGAGAATATTCGTTGCATACAATATCATTCAGAGCTCAAGGTCAAGGTCAGGTCAGGTCAGGTCAGGTCACCAAAAAACAAAATATAGAAAAGGACATGTGCGACACATGTTTTATGGGTCATTTTACTCATAGAATTCAATAGGCACACTCAATAAGTGATATGGACCACCTCTGGATGAATTTCAGGTCGAGGTCAGGTCAAGGTCAGGTCAAGTGAGGTCAAATTTTGAAGTTGGTTGTTAAGGCCTAAAAAGGTGTCTATCTGATGCAGTTTTTCACGGCGAATCGAATGGTGCTATTTTTGTTTCCGTACGAGGTCTAGAACTTCCAAAAAAGTCATTTTTCAAAAATTTTGTGTGTCGTGACGTCATAAAATTTTGAATAACTCCCACATTTTTGAACCGATTCTTCTAAAATTTGGTATGTAGGTGCACATAGACCACTTCTCTGACATATATTCCGGTTTTTTCGATAGACTCAAAATTTTGGATTTTTTAATGATTTTCCCAAAAAAATCAGTTTTTTGAAAAAAATTTAGGCCAAAATCCAAAATTTTCAAAAAATCGAGATAGCCATTTGATAGACAAAGTAAAATTACGTATAACCTTTTTTGTTACGTCTTGATACCTTTAAAAATGAAGATGTTAGCGGCGTTTGAACTTTTGCCGTTTTTGAGGCGAAAATGGCGAACATGACGTCACTAAAACGTCAATTTCTCAAAAATTTTCCGACGGATTTCGCTCAAATTTTCAGGGAAGGTGTTAAATTCATGTAAGAAAAGGTACTGAAAGTTTGGCGGCGCTGCGCGCCGCCGTTTTTGAGATATCGCAAAAATTCGCGAGGGGGGGTAAAATTTACCCCCCCCCCAGCCCCGCGCGGGTTAACTGAATCATAGCAGAGATGTGTTCTAGATCGAGATGATTGTGCTCGCAAAAGAAAAGGTTTCGTGATTTGCTGCATGTGACAATTCCCGTGTGACAGGTGTTTGGTCAGCTGTCCTATGACGTCTCCTCCCCCCTGTGTGACAGGTGTTCGGTCAGCGCGTGCTGCCCATCCTCTCGGAGTCGGACGCGCCGCACGAGGTGGTGGTGACGTCACGCGCCGGCGAGGCCCGTCAGCTGGCGGCAGAGGCCGACCTCAGCCAATGGTCGGCGGTCGTCATCGTCTCCGGCGACGGCCTGCTCTACGAGGTCAGTGACGTCATCCGGCACATGAGGCGTGACGTCATGAGAGGGGCGACTGTGATGTCATACTTCAGAGGGCTTAACGTCATTTTGGGAGTGAAATGTTTGCTTTACAACGTTAAAGACAAGGGCATCTTTGGCTATAACCAGTTCCTAACGATATCCAAAGACCATTTAGCAATGCTATTACCAGCCAGCAGGCAGTTGAACTGTATCAGTCAGACTCTGTTCAGTGTGACCTGTGTCGAACTGTGCTATACCCCGGCCGCTGACCAGTGCACCCCCTGTGTCTGTCCAGGTGTATAACGGCATCCTCAGCCGCGCCCAGCTATACCCGGCCGCTGACCAGTACGCCCCCTGTGTCTGTCCAGGTGTATAACGGCATCCTCAGCCGCGCCCAGCTATACCCGGCCGCTGACCAGTACACCCCCTGTGTCCGTCCAGGTGTATAACGGCATCCTCAGCCGCGCCGACTGGCACCGCTGGGTGGACTTCCCCGTGGCCCTGGTGCCGGCCGGATCCGGAAACGGCATGGCCGCCTCAGTGGCGCACGCCAGTAACCTGCTGTGAGTGGGAGTAGGGTTGGAGGGGAGGGTAGCCGCCTCAGAGGCGCACGCCAAGAACCTGCTGTGAGTTTCATGCGGGGGAGGGGAGGGGACATGCCAGGCTTCAGCATACATCTCACGGACCCCAAAACGTCGAGTCGAGCTATACCACCCTTTTTAGCTCGCTATTACAGTAGAGCTACTCACCTCACGCCTCTCGGCCAGCTGCGAGGAGACACGGTCCGGCTCGGGCTGTTCCGTGGGCGCGGCATGCCGCCGTGGCTGCACTGACCCGTGCAGCCGTCTGACCCGTGCAGCCGTCTGACCCGTGCAGCCGTCTGACCCGTGCAGCCGTCTGACCCGTGGAGCCGTCTGACCCGTGCAGCCGTCTGACCCGTGCAGCCGTCTGACCCGTGCAGCCGTCTGACCCGTGCAGCCGTCTGACCCGTGCAGCCGTCTGACCCGTGGAGCCGTCTGACCCGTGCAGCCGTCTGACCCGTGCAGCCGTCTGACCCGTGGAGCCGTCTGACCCGTGCAGCCGTCTGACCCGTGCAGCCGTCTGACCCGTGCAGCCGTCTGACCCGTGGAGCCGTCTGACCCGTGCAGCCGTCTGACCCGTGGAGCCGTCTGACCCGTGCAGCCGTCTGACCCGTGCAGCCGTCTGACCCGTGCAGCCGTCTGACCCGTGCAGCCGTCTGACCCGTGGAGCCGTCTGACCCGTGCAGCCGTCTGACCCGTGCAGCCGTCTGACCCGTGCAGCCGTCTGACCCGTGGAGCCGTCTGACCCGTGTAGCCGTCTGACCCGTGCAGCCGTCTGACCCGTGCAGCCGTCTGACCCGTGCAGCCGTCTGACCCGTGTAGCCGTCTGACCCGTGTAGCCGTCTGACCCGTGCAGCCGTCTGACCCGTGCAGCCGTCTGACCCGTGCAGCCGTCTGACCCGCTCTGTCCCGTGTCGCCAGGCCGGCCTTCCTGCAGAACCCGGTGCTGACGGCCTCGCTGGCGCTGGCCAAGCGGCTCCAGCTGCAGGTCGACCTGATGATGGTGCGGACACAGACAGAGGTACGGACACGGGGTCCGGATCCACGGGGGATCCACGGACGGACACGGGATCGGCTGGG